GGCGCGGGCGGGTGGCCGGCGCGCATGGGAGTTTGTGAGTGAGGGGGTGGGTGTCTCTAACTGTATGAACGCACACGGGCGGGGGTGCTGTGTGGAACAGTCCAGTTTGTGTGTGCGGCTGGGATAAGGAGGGAGGCCCGGGTGTGGGTCCGTGCATGATGGGTGGGGAGCGGACAGTTCTAGGCGCCGGGGAAGTGGTGTGGCAGAGTGCCTGGGCGGTAATGGTGGTTTTGCATGCCAAGAGTAGAGGCCAGGTGTTGGGGGGAAGGTGCTAGACCCCACAGGGCCTCCTAGGCATAGTGCCAGAGAACAGGTGAGGAACCGGCCCAGAGAGTGGGCTCTTCTGCCCCAGGTCACCCAGCAGGTTAGGAGCAGAACTGGGACTCAGATTAAACGCTCCTGGAGTCCCTGGTCCACATTTTGACTTGTCTGGTCGTCCCTCAGTCTGATTCTCAGAACCATGTTGGGGAAAAGGGCACTGGACCAGAGATCAAGAAATTCCGGTTCTAATCCAGGCCCTGCCACCTGCCAGTTGAGAAGCCTAGGTAGATTCGCTCTGTTATCTCTGGTCTGAGTGGCTCCCGTGGCAACAGATCTGAGGCTTGGAAGCCCCCCCTTTGGTCAGCCAGTAGACCCGGGAAGACTCCTGCCTCTAGGCTTCACTGTCCTGCCGCTCACAAAGCCGCGGTTGCTTGTCCATCCTGCCTGTCATCTCCCACTCCGTCCCCTGTAGCCTGGTCTCCTGAAGCCAGGGTGTGGAATGCTAACACACTAATACTGGCTGCTGGGGTGGAGACAGGTCATCAGAGGAACATGTCGGTGTCACTGTCTCCATGGGGTAACAAGGAAGGGATAGATTCTCTGCCTATCAGGGCCTTCCAGAGAGAAGCCGGGCGGCTCCCCTGTGCCCTCACAGCCCCGGTCCCCAGTCTGTCCAGAGGGGAGTGGGGGTTGTGGTTCGGATCCAGGAGCCAGCTTTCCCCAGCTGTGGCCAGTGTGAACAGGATGTTTGTAAAGGATGGTGTGAGTTGGATGGTCCCAGGCCTCAGAGATCTCCCCACAACTCTCTCTGCTCCCACCTTGACTGGGCGGGGGTGGGGGCTTGGGCAGGACGTTTTCCCTTTCAGGCTGATTTGAGCAGGTCAGTGTCTTCACGAGGACACCGCAGCTCACCTGGCTCTTTTTACCCCTTGGCCCCAGGCCTCCCTAAGGCAACATGCTGTCACCAGCTCTGTTTGCAGTAGCCTGCTCACCCTCTCCCTGCCCCCC